TCTGTTGTTTCCCTCCTCTACTAAAATAAAGTTGGATGGGAAACAGAAACAATTTCAGGACACTTTTAAAGCTTCTTCTATTTAGCAGATTTTAAAAGATAACTAAACCACGAGCATCCTATTCCCTCTTATTTGTCTTCCTCTGGTGTTTGGCCAATCAATGCAATAAAATGAGCTTAATGCCTTCTTACCCCCTCACTAATTCCAAACTGCTGTTTACATGGATTGTTTTCCTTTCCACCTTCACCAATACATCAAGTTTTTTTTTTTTTTTTTTTTATCCTGAACGTTTACACAGAGAAAGATATTTTGAGTTATATGGTGGCAAGATTTCAGTCTTCCTTTTGTACTCAAATTCTTTTGGAAGTGAGGGAACAAAAAAGAAGGGAAGGAAATAAAAAGTAAAGTTGCAACACAGTAATTCTTCTGTATTTCTATGGCAAAAGAGCTGACAGCACTGGAAGTTTTGTTAGACACTGACAATAAATATCTGATAAATACTAATAAAAATGTTATATGGTGAGAAGTTTTCAGGTTAAGTTTAATTTTCAGTGTAACTGCTTTATGTGCTGCAAAAGTAACGTCTTTTAACAGACTTCTAATGGTAACTGTTCCTTTAGCCCTGTAAGATCTGAAATGTATTTTAGAAACAACAAAATAAGTCCAAATATTGAAAGAAAACAGGTTATTGTTCTCAAGCTGTGTCTGCACAGCTCAATTCTGCCTACAGTTTAAATAAATATAAAAAACCTTCACAGTGCAGTCACCGGATAGTCGCAGTCAGATATTCATTCCTTTCTCTGAGGTGTCCCATCAATGATGAAGTAAAGGTGAAGCTCTTCCAATCAAGAGCTAAATTCCAAGTTAATGCTCTTTGAATAAATCTGGCAATTTGTTTTTTTTTGTGAGTTGTCATTTTGTTTTTCTCAGGTAGAGTTTCACCGTGATTCATTATGCTCGATCCAAGCGTTAAACCTAAGATCCATCATAATTATAGTGTGTCCTCAGTGCTTGTGAGAAAGAAGACAGAGCACAGAATTAAAACTTTGAGAAGTCAGAATGAGGCCTGCAATGAGCCCTGAGGTTTCAAAAAGCTGTTGCTGTAGCTATGGAGGGGAATTTTGCTTTTAAGAAAGCAAGAAAAAAAACAAAACAAAACTGGAGGCCACCTTTTAAGAATGCGATTGCCAAAGTTACAAGGAATGAATCATTGGCACTGATTTTTACGCTGCGTAGCTCCGTAGTATCTTTGTTATGCTGACTGTGTCTGATTGCTGGTGATGTGTCTGCAGAGGGCTGCTGTTGAGTCTGCAACATTGACACCCTGATACTGTCCTCTCCTCTTTCAGCTAACTCAACTATTGGGAAAGATCAAAGAAAAGGAGGAGGAGGGCTGACAAGAACCAGTGTATGAGATGCCTGCAAAGCTTTAAATAAATAAAAGGGAGTTAAGGCTTCGAATCTGTTGCAGGATATCTGTGGATGTGGGGCCCTGTTTTGCTGTAACAAATTAAGTCTTCTCTCACAGAGCATGCTATCGTGCTTGTATCTTTGTGAATCCTGTCCTTTGAATATGAATAAGTTTGAGCAAAGCACAGTTGTATATTACTAGGCATATCTGGAAATATTAAAGCTAAAAAAACCCCTGTGGCTTCTGGTAGACTACCAACTGCTCCTTTTGTTTCCCTGCATAGCAAAATTAGATCAGTGGCTTTCAGTGTTAGTATCTAGTTTGTTTCACTTTCCAATTCACAAGAGTTGAGGAATGTGTAAGCAAGAGCCTAACCTTGTCTCCCTCCAGAAAAGAACAACTCTACATGAAAACTTAAGATAAAAGGGAAAATAGGAGCAATAGGAGCAAAGGAAAATAGGACAATGAGCAGAGGGTAAAACTTTCACAGTGAAAGGTTCCTCAGCTGAAATAAGGCTCTGTGGGCTGAGCAGGAATGTTTTTGACCCCTCTCAGAAAGTAGCAATGTATTTGGATTAACATTTGAAGGGATAGTTCAGGATGGTTGCAATATGATCTGTGACACTTCCAGCACAGTGGAAAGGACCCTGTTTTTCTCCTACTTGGTTTCTATGTGCCAGGAGGTAAGGATGTGGATTGTGCCTTCTGGAGCTCTACTTGCTCCAGCCCCATGGGATCAGAGTGCTTTAGGCATCATGCTAATGCCAGAGATTTTACTTTGTTATGTCAAAATCTACCTTCCATTTTTAATGGTGAGAGTTGGCTGTTCAAGCAGTTGGCAACTATTTATTAAAAATAAACCTATATTATCTTCCTTTAATGCTAAATGTTTTTACAGTGCATATATTTCCTTGAAGCCTCCTTGGACTGTTTTTGGTAGGTTTGAATCAACTATCAGAAGTCAAATGGGAATGTAAAAATCATGAAGTTGGAACTCAGTGGGTATGGAAGTGAGGTATTTCAGATGTGTGGGGCTTGAACTGATGCTCACGCGTGGTTTAGATCCGCATTAACTGTATTGATTAGTGACTTACGGAAGCCCCAAACCAGAAGACAAATGAATCTAAAGCCTTTGTTTGTGAATGATCAGTTGATGATGGAGTGCTGTGTGTATGTGAATATGCAGCTCTTTGTGGTATGGTTTGTTTTATTAATAACATTTTGTAACAGCTGTCTTACTTTCAACTAGTAAATCAGTGAATAAGTTACGTAGGTCTCTGTGAGCGTGCTGTCAGTCAGTGCTCTGTTCTTTCTTTACAGCTAAACCAGTAAGCTAAATGCTGTTCAGTTCTCCATGAAATGTGCTATAGGACAGCTAGGTGTGAGCAAGATTGAATGTCTCCATCCGCAGAGGTGGAGCAGAAATGGGCCCTGGTGCGGCTGCTGTGCACTCAGCCTGCTGGGACCCCTCTGAGCAGGGCAGCTCTGACGCTTCCCTGGCCAGTAACTGTGGTGGTTATCACTGCCTGCTGTGCCTGCTGGTGGCTGACATAGGCCCGGTGCCCATGTGGAAGGAGCAGCAAGGGAAGGAGGGCTGTTGCAGGAGCAGGAGAAAGCCGCACTCCCTGCAGAGTGTGCTGAGATCTCTGTGCCTGCAGAGCAGGAATGGGCCTTTATCTCTGTCCAAAAAGGGTCAGAGGGCCTTGTTACACTTCTGAAAATGACCTCAAACGGGTTTGTTTTGTTTTAATTCTCTCAAAGCGTCACCATTTTGTATTAGGGTATCTCAGGACTTCCTAGAGCACAGCCGGATGTAGGTGCCTTCCCTCAGCAGCCCAATGCTGCCTCCAGTTCTGCAGCACTGTGCGGTTTTGGGCTGATTTTCTTGTCACATGAAGCAAAGGAGTTGCTATCCCTCACTTGGATATTTGGCCATCCGGGGGTAAATGATAACTTTTGGATCATTTTTGTCACTGGATGAATAGCACAACAGTGCATCAAACCAGAAATCTTTGTGGCAGTGGGGTGTGACTCAGGTCACTGGTTGAGGGTCACCAGTTCAGGTGCATGCAGACCCATTCATTTTTGTGCAGCGTGTACAGCAACGTGTGCTTGTGAGAACTCGGCAGTTTGTGGTTAGCTTTTCCTGTGAACAGTGCGAGTACTGAACAGGGGTTTCTGCAGTTACAGTCAATGTCACCTGGACCACTACCAGACAAAATAATATATTGTAATACGATGATGGAAACGTTCTTAAAGATTGCTTCCCAGAACTGTGGTTAGGATACATCTCGGCAGTCTGGCAACTCTCCAGCTGACAGGAAGCTTGTTTCTCCTGTAACCAAATGGCTCGGATGGGGGAGATGGTTCCCTCTGGGAGCATACAGTGGGCAGGATGGCCTTGGAGCTGGAGCAGGTGGTGCTTTGGGAAGGGAGGACCCAAGGCACACTAAGGAAGGCTTAACTTCTGACAAACCTGCCGAATCCTGCATGAATGGGAAAGTGATGCATTGCTTTTTCCCCTTCTTATCTGCTTGTAATAATTTCTGTACCTCTCTGTTCTCCGTCTCTCATCCTTTTCTCTGCTGCCCACACATTAGAAAGTTTTATTTTGACAAACAGTTGGGAAAGAGTTTGCTTTTCTGCACTTGCAAAGCTCATCCCATGAGCCCAGCAATTGCTGTTTTCTCTGTTACATCTGAAAATCTCTCAAACGTTTACTTCCATTCTTTCATTAAGTTGTGGGTCTGGCTAGCTCTGTAGGCGCCTATCTTGCTCTTGTGACGGGGGAATGCTTTAACTGCCCGCAGTTGAGTTTCCTCTGGTTATATGAATGCGAGGAGAGGAGAGGCAGGCGTTGTTGTTGTTTCTGGATGAACAGAGGTGCCCGAAGGGAAGGGAGTCCTCCGGAGAGACGCCGCCGCAGGGCGAGGCGAGAGCTCCTGGCTCGGACCGTGCCCGCTTCACGCGGTGTAACTGCATCCACTCCGGCGATTTGCCTCCGCGTCCGCAGGCTCCTTCGGTCGCTCGGCCGCGCTCCACCACTCCTCGCGAGCCCCTCGGAGTAGCGGCAGGTGGCTGCGGGCTCCCGGGACTCGTCCCAGCCGCCGTCTGTCGCTGCCATGGCCGTCCCGTCCCGGGAGCGGACGGGGCGGGGCGCGACGGGCAGTGCCGCCGGGCATTATGTAAGGGCGCGGGGCCGCGGCCGCCCGACGCGAGAGCGAAATTCCTGGGGGGAAGCGGCTCTGCCGAGCGCCGGCGGCTCCCGAGGGACGGGCGGGCGGCGGTGCCAGCCCGGCGGGGGGGGGGCGCCGGGCGGGGCAGTTCCTCCGGGGGCGGCCGCTGGCAGGAGACGCCCGGCCGCGTGCCCCGTGCGGGCGCTGCCCCTTTAAGGGCCGCTCGCCGCCCGCTCCACAGGCAGGGAGCGACCTCTGGGCTTTGACAGCTCCCCTAATAACTAGCAGCGCGCTGGCTCCGCCCCCGACGCCCGATTGGGCGGCGGGCCGGCACGGCGCGTGCCGATTGGCTGGCCGCTTCCCCTGAGCGAACCTTTAGAACTCCGAGACACAATATTCTGTTACATTGTAGCAAAATGGCGACTGTCATTCACAACCCCCTGAAAGCGTAAGTAGGGTTCAGAACCGCACACGCTCCGCGTGGTTCCGGTACGAGAAAGGGCGCCCGCCCGCCGCGCTCGTCCCCGGATCCCCGCCTCCGCGCGCGGCCCCGGCTCGGCGGCTCCGGGCGGGCGGCGCGTCCTGCGGCCCCGGGCGCGCACCTGGCGGCGTCCCGCGGGGTCCGGCGGCCGGGGCGGGGCGGGCAGCGGGGAGCTCCGTGCCGCGAGGGAGCGGGGTGCGGCGCGGGGCTGCGGCGCAGCGGCCGCTGTGCGCGCGGAAGGCTCCGTCGCTCCGAGCGCCGAAGAGTTGGTGCCTCTCGCAGCTCTGGAGCGGGCACCGGGGGCGGGAGGGAGCCTCGGCTGCGGCCGCCACCGGCGTCCCCGTCCTGCGAGAGACGTGGGACCGCTCGCCGTCTGCCCGGCTCTCCTCCCGTGTTTCCCTTCGGTCGCGGCGCGCGCGGCTAATCCCGGAGCATTAGGGAGAGCGCGATCCGGCTCCGCGTAACCTCCTACGGGAGAGTTCTCCCTCCCGGGGCAGCGCTCCCGCGGACGGAGCGCAGCGCGGGCACCTGGCGGCGGCGCTTCTCCGCACTCGCGGCCGCGCGGAGCGGAGTCCGGAGCCGAAGTGAGGGCTGCGGGGTGGCTCTGCTTTCTTTTCTTTTGCTTCTTTATGCTTGTTTGTTTTTGACTCGCGTTCCTCCGGCTGGAGTTGGAAAACCACTCGAAGGGTGGTTTCGGGGACTCCTGCCGCCGTCTCTCCGCTGTCTGCAGGGAGGGAGAGCCTCAGGCAGCGGAGAGGCGCTGACACGTTTGCCGGCTCTCCCGCACCGTCCTGGCAGAAAACCTTCGCTTTCATTTCGCGTGCGCTCCGCAGCGCCCACACGGCCGTGGACAGCGGCAGTGCAGGTGCCCCGCGCTCCTTCAAGGGGATCCCGGGGCCGGGGCTCGGTACCCGCCGCCGCCGCTCTCCGGACTCGCGCCGCCCGTAGCAACTTGTCGCGCTGCCGCTCCGGGCGCTCTGTCCCGCTCGCAGCTCCCGCCCGGCTTCCAGAGCCGCTCTCCGCGGGCAGCGCTACCCGGGAGCCTCGGGGTGGGGGGGGGGGACGAGCGGCCGGCCCCCGGCCTCGCCGTGCAGAGCCGGGAGGGCAGCGGCAGGCTCGGCTCCTCTCGCGCAGCGTGGGAGAGCGCGAACAATGGGCAGCTCCTCTCCCTGCCTGCCCAAGTGCTGTGCTGAGCGGGGGAAGTGGGACCGGCGCGGGCTGCCCGGCACCACCTGCATTTTTTATTGAGAAGTTGTTTAATAAAACATTTTATAATTTTCACTCATTCTTTAAAGTTGCTGATCGGGAAACAATACACATGTAAATAAATTATGCATGGAGTAAATTAGGACGAAAGCGGTAGGACGCATAATAGGGGAAAGGACGTAGCGCACAACGTTTTATCCTCATGTGTCCTTCCTGACAATGAAAGGGAGCCGAATGACATTTGCATTTATCTGCGTTTTGATTGTATCTGAAAACCCACAAACGCCCCCTACAGAAACTGCCCGCACAAAGGTTTCGTTCCGAGCCGGGGACAATGTAGGGACCGAGACATCCCAGCTCAGGTGTCAGCAGCCCCGGCTGTGCCGCGCGTCTGCGGGTGCCTAGAGCTCAGTTTCTCTCCGGCACTTGGACACACGTGTGGCCTCGTTCACGCTGCTCTGCTCTCGGGATAACGTGCTCCATGTACCTGAGCGTCCCTGGGAACGTGCTGCACGGAATAGCTCGGTGCGTGCAGTCCCCCCGGCTGTGATGGGCGCTCCCACATTCAGCTCGCCTCTCTCTCTGCCTCTTTTCTCACTTGCTGGTTCTCTTCAGGGGCTTTCATCCCTCTGCTCTTCTCCTCCTCACTGCCTCTGGCAGTCTGGTCAGCCCGACGCAGCCGCCTGCTGTTTCTGCCATCCAGCACCCTGCTTACCTACACGGTGCTCTGGGGCAAAAACGGCAGAGATGCGAGTGTAACAGATCTGCGAGAAAAGGGCACCAGGTGTCTGGATAAACACAGAGTTCTTTGCCTGCAGAAAAGGCAGCACTCAGAGTGCTGATGGGCAGCAGTGGGTTGGAAATGCTGGATTCATTGTTGTGTACTTATCTCTATTTTTTTTTCTTCTTCTTTGGATATCTTAATGTGGAGACGCTTGAGCAGGGCAGCAGAAGAAACAAATGCAATGAAGTGGTATTCTGAATGACTTGAAATGTCAGTCAGAAATCTCAGTGGGCTCTGTAAACATTAATTAATTAAACCTCTCATCACCTCTGTGAAGAAGGGATTATTGCCTTTGTTTTGTGGGTGACTAAACTAGGACAAAGTTGTTAAGAAACTTTCTGAATTGAAGACCAAGTGTAGAGCACAGCAGTGCAGCTTACAGCCTTAGCAGCTAGCCACGTTTCCTCCACCCCTGCCTTACTAGCGATATGCATACAGTACCATAATGTATTTAATGTAATTAAGATCTTGTAATTTACAGAGCCCGATCTAGAAGTGGAGCTGCTTTCCCCCACCCTTCCTCTTTCTGCACTCCCACAGCTGACTTTTATTTCATACAATCAGTTAAATGCACTCGCTGAGCTGCTGCTGCCTTTTTGGCACGAGGTTGCCCTGCTGCAGCTCTGCCCTGATGCACGCAGGAGGAGCTGCTGCTGGCTGTGTCCCAGTGTCACGGTGCAGTGCCCTCCCTCCTTTGGCTCCACCAGGCCGTGGGACAGTGACTAACCCGTCCTCGGCAGGCCGTGCTGTTGGACAGCCCTGATGTGCTTGGGGAGGTTTATTCCCAGCCAGGTGGTTGGGAACCGGCTCAATGCTGAGCGCAGTGCTGGAGCTAACCTTACAAACCCTACCGGTCTTCTGTGTAGCTGCTCTGCCACAAGCACGTGGCAGCGGTCAGTTTTCCAATGGCCGTGCCCGTTGGATGGAATAGCCCTGACAGGCGGCTCCAGCTCTGGAGGACCACTGGCCTTCACTGTTATGATGGGTTCTGCGGCATGTGGAACCAGTGCAAAAAGGAGGCACACCTCTTTGCTTAATGTCAGCAGCAGACCAGCAAAGGTCTTTGGGCCCTGTATGGCAGGAGTATTTTGTAAGTGTTAGCTTGGGCTTGACTTCAAGCTGGGGTCTCAGAACTGGAAGTTTCCATATCCTCTTACCCACTGCCAGAACAACCCTACAGTGTGACTAAGTGCTGATGGAGACAACTTATTTATTTATTTGTTTGTTTATTTATGTATTTATTTATTGTCTGGATGTTGTTGCATAAGCAGCTGGTTGCTAATTCTTAATAACAAAGTATGATGTGCAGTGCTTCTTCCAGCAGGTGGAAGCAACAAGATAGATGGACAGTTAGGTTGCCAGTTCAGCATTTGCAAGTGATGTGAAGGTGATTTTAATGTGGCTTTGCAGAAGGGAGTGCTCTTCTGCTTGACAGAACACGGTTGTTAGATGCATTAAATCATGTACCAAAATCTCTACAATGTGGCTCTGAAGTCTCTTAAAAACATAAATGAGCCCCAGCATGACACATTTCAAGCCAATACTGCTGCCCACATGAACACTCTCTATTCTGTATCCCAGCACCACCCTTCAGCGAAAATGATGGATGAATGTTTTTGTATTTATGCAGGGAAACATGAGCATAAGAACAAAGTTGTAGGGGGTGAGAAGGGGAGGAGAGAAGCCAAATCCTGAAGATCTGAAGATGTGCTGCTCTGAATGAGGAGAGCCAGATAAATGTGTTAAAAGTTACAGTGTTTGTCTGGCCGCATGAGTAACTTGTGTGTGAATAGCTGTTGTAATGCTTTTGTAAATTTGTTCCGCTGGTGAGAATGGACAGAGCTTGTGACATAAAACTCTCACTGAAAAAAAAAAAAGATTTAAAAAATATGTGGTGTGTGAAAGCAATACTGAGCTATCCGGGATGAGCTACAAAGTTCCAAAGATGGGTGATTCTTGATGGTAATATTGAACTATATGTCCTGAGGTCTGGGTTCACAGCGTCCAGTAGGTTGAGTCCCCAGTGGGTGAATGGGAACAGTGTGCCAGGCGGTGCAGGGGGGCAGCCCAGGAGGTGAAATGGGGTTCTGTCCTCAAGTGCTGGCGGACTCCAGGGAAGGTAATGGGGTGCACCCGATGTGTAGCCTTGTGGAAATACACTTCTGCCTCTGCTTTCCTCCAACTGGAAGAATGGCTTCCTGGAGGTGCTTTATCTCGTTGGCTGTGCCTCTGCTGTCTAGAAAAGAGACATTCCAGATTCTTAGAATTACCACTTGCTGAGACTGGTGTTTTCTCACCCTGCTTTTTCTTTCAGATTGAAGCTGAGTTTCTTTGCTTGGTAGCTCAATTTTACAATGTATGAATTCATTCTGGGCTCATCCTTGTGCTGTCTATGAGTGATGTTGCCTTGAGTAAGAACAATTCCTATACTGTGCATCCCTGAGGACTTGTCAGAGTAGGATGAATGCGCTCTGGGGGCTGGCGCTCTTTCCCTTGGCCGAACAGAGCCCTGACCTGGGGATCCCCAGGCTCAAGTGGCACATTGCCCCAGGCAGAGGCAGTGCCGTTTCCAGCCCAGACTGGGGCTGCATTGGGGTGCATGATGCTGCTGGCTTTTGCCTTGGGCACAGACCGAGGTTTACGGATTACTTCTTTCATGCAGGTCCCGGTTTTATCTTTGGTTTGTTTCTTTCAAGGTGATCAGTTTTAAAGTGCTGTATCTAGGAGACAGCATACCTATAAAAATGCCCATTTTAACTTTTTTTGAGGGGAAGTGCTTCTTTCTGCTCTTTAAAAACTTCTGTGCAGCTTGTGGAAGAAGCCCTAATATACTGGACCAGTATGTGAAATGCAGAAAGTGATTTTTCTTTCAAAAGAAATAAGGAAACTCTCTGCTGCATTTTTACTGTCTAAACCAAGTTACATGCAACAAATAGCCTAAGTAACTGCTTCAATCCTGAATGTTTAAAATTCTTAT